TTAGAGACACTCCCATCAGCGTGTCTGACACAAAAATCCAAAATAGTCAGTGACAGCAAGTAAGAAAGGAGAAGCTGGTGATCAAGCAATCATGAGTGTCAAAGAAAAAAAAATCATGCATCATTTCATCTTTTAAAAAAGAAAAGGTTAGCTTGAATACACAAAAATGACTTTCATCCAATATGTGTCATGACATCTATGTCTCAAGCTTATAAATGCATGCATTAGCCAGCTTTAGCCATATATTTATGCAGCTACGTGTCATTTTTAAAAACTGTAAGCGAAACCTAAACCACATTTGCCCTAAAACAAAATATTCAGTCAAACACAAACATTCTAAGGATAGCTTCTTTTCCCTGAAAGCCTGGCTTGGCAAAAAAAACCCATTTGTGCTTGTGGTTTGTTAATGTGTAACCTACCCGCTGAGTGTTAATGTCTCCTGTCATATAGTTATGAAAATGCAAAGAAATTAAAATAATTCCTTTTACCATCCTGCCTATTAGTCTGATATTCAGCATTGTTTGCCTATTATAACCACTAGCCTCCTTTTCACATCTGCTCACCGTTGCCTCTATAACTTATATGTCCAAAGAAACAGCTAATCCTGAGCTGCCCCTGTGATATACTCATTTGTAATTCTGTCCATCATCAAGATGCAATGAAAACATTAGCATCATCAAACCTTTTCTGTTTTGACAGAGCCAACAAATCATACTTCACAGAAAGTTAAACCTTCCCAAAGTGGTTTTAGAAAAGCTCAACAAATCACACCACTCAATAAGAACAAACACCTGTTACAATGAAGGTAATATCATATGTCTTGAATAGTTTGCACTACACAAACACACAGACACATCTTACCTATAGAAATCACTGTCACAGTGGTAGTTTGTGTCTGGTTGTGAGTGTTGCCATTAGGTTTGCGCTCAGACACAGCACACCGGTACACTCCTGAATCAGACAGTGTGACCTCATCAAGCGCTAAGGTGAAGTTGTCAGTAGATGGACGCATCACCCTCACTTTGCGACTCATGAACTCCTCTGCTATCTCTGTAACACCCTCCTCATTTATACTGATGATCTCAGTGAACGGGGCCGTTGGTGTTGATTTGTGTTGCCAGGTGACAGAGAGCTGACCTTGAACCCCATCCACTTTACAGAAGAGATGCAGCCCGCCCCCTTCGGTGACATTTACAGCCTGCTGCATTTTGACTGTCAGCCTGTTTTCTGTAAAGAGATGAGGCAAGAGACAAATAGTACTGCTGTGTTTGAGAAGACAAAATAATTTCCCTAACAGTAAAAAAAAAAACAGAAACAAAAATATGCAACCTAACACTTTGTTTAAGCCTTAATACCAACAGATTCAAATCAACAATGTAAAAAGGAAAGTGAAATAAACCCTGAATAACTGAGTGTGTGTGTTCACTATGACAAACCCTGGGGCTGAAATGCTACAACAAATAATATTCAGTCAAACATTCTGAAGACAGTTTTGTTTTCTGAAAGTCGCACTCACAATTCAGCTAAAAAAATACATAAAACAAAACAACTTTTGCTTTTTGTTAATAACTGTGCAATCTGATTGTTGAGTGTTGAGATGTGGAAACCTAAAATTTTGACTTATGACAATGCAAAGAGTAAATCCACTAAACAACATGATTTTGCTTTGTAGATGTATTCCATCTAGATTTCCTGTGGGGAAATGTAACGTTTGATTTAATGTTGTTCAGTAAACAAAAGAAGGGTTCCCAAAGGATTACATTAAGACTCTCAATATCAGTATGTTTTGGATATTTGTCTGCCATTTTCTTGTAATATGTCACTACGGATTAAAGTGTTTAATGAATATATCTGCAAGTAAACAGCTAATTACTCAAACTGACCAAAATCCATATATTTACTTTGCTATTCATTCTGTAATATTTGAAGTGTAGTTTAACAAAGAAGTGTTAGAATTTATGATAGAAACACCTGTTACAATGAAGGTAATATCATATGTCTTGAATAGTTTGTACTACACAAACACACAGACACATCTTACCTATAGAAGTCACTGTCACAGTGGTAGTTTGTGCCTGGTTGTGAGTCTTGCTGTTAGGTTTGCGCTCAGACACAGCACACCGGTACACTCCTGAATCAGACAGTGTGACCTCATCAAGCTCTAAGGTGAAGTTGTGAGTAGCTGGACGCATCACCCTCACTTTGCGACTCATGAACTCCTCTGCTATCTCTGTAACACCCTCCTGACTTATACTGATGATCTCGGTGAACGAGGCCATTCGTGCTGATTTGAGTTGCCAGGTGACAGACAGCTGACCTTGAACCCCATCCACTTTACAGGAGAGATGCAGCCCGCCCCCTTCGGTGACATTTCCTGCCTGCTGCATTTTGATTGACAGCCTGTTTTCTGTGAGGAGATGAGGCAACAGAAAGAGTTAATAACGTTCGATAAAATTAACCTAGTGTATGGGAACTTACAGGTTCCTGGTGCTGAGGTAACAAAAGGCTGTGCACCAGGCGTGGTAGGCCTTTGTCTTGTTCAGTGAACGGGGTTGATTAAATACCGGCCTTATCTTTGTGCAGTGAATGTACTATCAGCTAGATGAGTCACTTTAGCCGATTAATTACTAACCTGGGGCTGGATGTTTCTTTTAGAGCTATGTCATAAACTTAAAAAAAAAAAAAACAGTGTGTTAGTGAAGTACCTCTTGACCCATTTTGTTATTTTATTGATGCAAATTTATGTTAAAGGCCTTCCTCAGAACCTTAACCTGTAGCTGTGGGGATTTACATGTTTAATTATTGAGCATATTTGTAGCAATGCAGTCGTGTATGATGTGTTAATGCTATGCGTGATTCTAATTATTCCTTGCTTCTGTTTCGAATTCCAGTCATGTGCCAATTATTATCCACTGGAGTTTTTAAATGGTTCCTATTTAAATTTTTTTGTTTTAGATATTGTGTTAGTGATTTTAACCCTGGTCCTGCTGCTATATTTAAGGTTTCCTGGTAGCAGCTGGTGTATTCACTGGAAGCGGTCGGGTGTTAGGTCGGACCTGGTGAGGTGATGGAATTGAGTGTAGTGGGTTTTGGAGTGTGATAATTGAGTTAATACATAATAATTTTAATAGTGCTTCACACTGTGCCACAACCTCTGTGTGTGCCCGTGTCCAGTGAATTTTAGTAGGACCAGTGGATGTAGTCAATGAAGCTACTTATAACAACAGCTGAAGTGGATATTTTGACTGCAGTGTTTGTCACAACTTCTTCACTCCTCTCTTTGGGAGCAGACAAACAATGTAAAGGTACAGTGACTTAAACCCCTGAATAACTGAGTGTATATGTGTTCACTTTGACACACCTGTGGCTGAGACGCTGACCCGCTGTGGGCTGGAGTCTTTGGGTTCTCCCTCAATAAAAGTATCATCTTGGCCTCTCTCTTGAGGCCAGACTGTACAGATATACTCTCCCTGATCCTCAGTTCTCACAGGCTTTAAGATGAGACGGTAATCTCTGTTCCCACTCCGGGCGGCTCTGAGCTCTCCATTTTTCTGTCGAACACTGTACTCCGGTGCCACAGTGAGAACGCCTGTGGGACCAATGCGGGCCAGCTCCACACTTCCCTTGAGCCATGCTACAGAGAAGAATCTTTTCTCCACGTCCTGTGTGTTTATATTACAGGACAGCATCAGCTCCTGCCCCTCCTGCAGCGCTGCCGGCTGTGCTGAGATTTCCACTGCCAGAGACGGAGACGATGGCTCCACCACCTCTACTCAAGACAAAAAATGAAAACAGTGAGACATCCACACAGGTGTCTATAGGATAAGTACATTTAATGTGCTGACCAATATCAAGATGTGTTATAAATATAGCACGACTGAGTAAAATTCCAACCTGTGGCTTTAACTGTCAGGGTCATTTCTTCTGCATTCTTCTGTATGATGATGTACCAGGAGCCATCAGGATCTTGGATCCACTCCTGAGCCTGGCAGTAGATCCTACCTTGGTCTGATGGCTCAACCTCAGCCATCTTTAGGCTGTACGAGGCCTCTCCCCATTTATCTAAGCGTATGAGACCTGCTTGGTAACGCCTTTCAAACCCCTGGCCTGGGCTCAGTGTAAAATCTCTATTCAGAGAAATGATAGGCTGAGCGTCCTCCTGTCCATCTTTATGGAGATACCAGGCAACAGACAGATGGGTGTGCTGGCTGGTGCTGCTAGAGGCCAGGCATGTTAAAGTCAGAGCTTCACCCTCGTTTAAGCTCAGTGG